ACCAATGGCCGTTGACCTCCTCTTCCCCCCGACCTCTATCTCCCTTTTTCCCAGCCTCCGGGACTTCTGGAACCGAGTTATGAATTTTCGTCGCAAACTCCGCCCACTTTGGTCATGCCCCGCCCACCGATGACAGTTGGCCTCCACTCCTCCACCCACCTCTATCCACCTTTTTCCGGCTCACTAAGACTTCTCCGGCCCGAATTATGAGGACTTGTAGAAAATGCTGTACACTTCAGAGCGCGCTCCGCCCATTGTGGGCGGGCCTCCGCCCACGTCATGTATGCTGGGAACACCTTAGACATTGCTCCCTACACCAATTTGTTTTCTGCTCTGTAGGCTTTCTCCCAACCGAGTTATGAAATTTTTCATAAAGCACTGCTTTTTTGGAGAACGCCCCGCCCACCGGGGGTGGGTCTCCCTAATTCGATGTGACTTACCAATGCACACCTTTACCCACTTTTTGGCCCAGTTTCGAGGCTGTTTTGTCACTGAAATTGAAATCTTGGTCTTCAGTACAGTTCATTTCGACGCACGCCACGCCCACTGTGGGCGGGGCTCCGCTTAGCTGATGTGTGTTTTGTACTTCGTGAGACCTTGCCCACCCATCCCACACTTGACCCGGTCCCTCCAGGCGGATCCCGAGGAGCTAGGGAATTTCGTGACAGACATACAGAACGACAGACGACAGACGACAGACAGACGAAGCGCTTTATAGTAAGTAGGATAGTGGAGAATATTTTGATTCACTGGGGAGAACCAGATAAGCGCTTCTGAACTTGGAGAAAATGGCCGGTATTTGCTCCATTTTGCTGATTCTCAAGTACTTAGTACGAAGTACGAAGCGTGAAGAACCTACGCTCAATTGACAGACGCATTTGGTGCGACAGCCCCATCTTATATTTTCTCTTCCGGATTCAATTGGCTCATAAAATGTGGGCCTGTCCACAATTGGGCGAGGTGATCGAGCAATTAAAATCCTTTCGCGTGCCAATTTTGTTGCTTAGATTTGACTATTTTGTTTTTCAAACTGATCATACGCTCAACTTGACACCATGGAATGTGACAGTGGGACGAAAATCCAGCTGGTGAAAGTTTTTATTGTCAAGCGAAACAAATGTTCACCTATTAAAGCTTGCAACAACTTGTTCTTTGTCTCAATGCTGAGGAATGTTTTGTTAGAGTTCTTCCTAATATTAAAATCTAACAAATTGAGGGTTTTAATTTTAAATTTTTTTCCCGCAAAAAATATTCGTCTTGATGAGCGTTTATCTTTTAAAATGTGAAGCGAATTAAGGAAGGCTACTAACAAAGGGTTTTCAAACATCCTCACAATCAGAAGGGTCAAAGGGTTGTATTACAAGCGATTCTAGCTTGAGAATTTCACATTTCAAAAAAAAGGTCGTATTTCCGGATTTCCGGAGAGGCAGGTAATGAATTGGACTTTCAGAAAGTAAGAAATGTTTACAAAATTCGGAGAAATTTTCGAGCATTTTGCACATATCCCCTTCCTGGGCGGAAGTGGTGTAGTGGCAAGTGGCACGCTTACCACGCGAGCGGTCCGGGGATCAAATCCTGGGTCGTGAGTCGCCCGGGCCAACCAAGCCTTCCATCCCTCCGGGGTCGGTTAATTGGTACCAGACTTGTAAAAACACTGACTTGTACATCGGCTGGCCCCCGCAAGTCATTGTATAGGCCACATCGCATTCAAACGCCACTACGAATGTACAAATGGAAGTAGAATGCGTGCCGCATCCCAAAAAGGGATTGATCAACGGCAAATGCTTTATCCTTTTATCTCCTCACCGCCTTCCACGAGGGAGAAGTGTACATACCCCTCCAGGGAAGGGTCATTCAGTTGTTAATATTTTCTCATCGCGACGATTGTCTCTGAGGATCAGAGACAATCGTCGCGATGAGAAAAAAGGCAAGTTATATATTTGTGAGTTGTACGTCTGCCTCAAGGTTGTCAAGGTGGAAGATTTATTTTGGCCAACGTTTCCATCGTCCTGTCGTTTTCAAAGGCCTAAATCAGCTCAAAGCAAGTACCCACCACCCTCCCGAAGAACTTGGAATTCATTGCAAATTATATAAATTCGAGGATGAAAAAGGAGAACAATGTCCACTATGAGGACAGGCTCATGAGCGGGTGAGGTGCGTCCCGCTGCGAAGGGCAAGCTCATGGCGGGCTAACAGAGCCATGAATTCCTTCACGGCTGTCCACGCCCACCAAGGATCGGAAGAAGCCCTCCGTTTTGAAAGGATCTTTCATTCCAAGCGGTTGAATCCTTTAGTTCACCTACGTAAGGCGCTATCAATCGAAACGCATTGTTTATTGTCATGATGCCAGTTATCGGGATTACCCAGGGGCAGGCAATCTCTGCCTTGCTCGTTAACTCGTGCAAGGCGTGATCTACGGACGGGGTCTCATTTTGAACTTTTTTTTTCGCTATTTTTTCATCAGTGCATCTTCAGCCAGATGTGCATTCATTCCCAACGGGCGTTTATCGTGACATCTTCCATTAAGCCAATGCCAACATTTTGAAAACGAGACCACTTTTCATTTTGAGCTCTTTTGGTTCGCCTAGGTAAGCAGTAAATGAAGAAATTTTTGTATATAAGGTGTTGTTTTTGTTTATTAGAATGCAGTTTTTATCTATGAATTTGTTTATTGGAATACATTTACACTTTTATCTACGACACTCATCAAAGCAACAAGTTACTGACTGGCAAGTTTTTGCAATTGCCTATGGGTTGTTGATGATTCTTAGAATTTCACCGCCTTACTCTATAAACCCATCTATGGACTTGAATCTTTTTCTCAGTGTAGGTACCGGTCGAAAGGCTAATTTCGTCAGGCTTCACGAAGGTGTTTCCATCGCTTCAACTTTTTGTTTCAATGATGTTCTTAAACTGGTTTCCTTTTTTGTAGTAGTGTAATCCCACTCAATCCATGGAAAACAGCACACTCTCTTGGGCACCCTCATTACGTCTGTTTATAGCTCTTTGAAGCTGTTGATTCGTTTTCTTAGAGGTGTGTAACTGCTATAAAAGCCAATGAGGGCTGTTTCGATCAAGGTTAGGAAAGTTACTCACACATAGTTCGGGGGGAAAGGAGTGGGGATAGGACTTCGATAGAATGCTTGGGGGTACTAGCAAGAGTGCTCATAGAGCCGCAGCCACTATGGCAAAATTTCTCACCTTTTGGTAGGCTTTTGAGATGTTTCAGTCTTACATAATTTAGACAAGAATTTCCAGATCGCTTCCGTCGGAAGAAGTGAATCATAGCGGTGATTCATGAGGGGAATTGCGGGGAAGTGGTGCATGTTTTCATAAATTATATATCTTCAGTTAGTCTCCCGTTTGAAGGAAAGAAATACCATTTTGTTGTTCGTGTATTGTTCGCTCCGCTCCAGTCGTTTCAGTGATATAGTAGAAGAGTAGTGTGGAGATATTGGCCTTTGAAGGAGCCCTGATGTTAAGAAATCCTTCCTGGGAAAATCATGGTTCTATTTCTTCCATGAATCACTGGCTTGAGACCCACCGTCCTAGAACGAAAAAAAGCAAAAAAATTGCATTTGTTTTGGTAAACAATTCGAAAAACGGAAGGGCTGCTACGCGTTCAAATTCCCGCCGGACATCTGTCACAAATGCTGGCGGCGGAAAATTCCACTTGGTTCTCAGAGTGCTGTCACTAGAAACTCTTTTGACCTTTTGACTTATTCCTCTAACATCTCATGCTTCTACTGCACTCTATTCGTTTCTCTCTAC